TATATATATATATATATATATATATATATGCATGTTGCCATATCAGTGTAAAACTGTTGATATTTATCATCTATCTTCTAAACCATCTAGCCTTAAGCACTATTGTAAACCACTCGCATATTGTTTTTCCGGTTCTCTCCTCTGATCGCAGGCACAAAGAGCAAAAAAAAGGGCAAAGAGGAAGAAACGACAACACCCAAGAATGAAATCACCACATCCACACCTCAGACTTTTCCCAGAACCAAACAGAAGGTAAAGGGCTGTGATTGTGAGCATGTTTTGTGTTGATGTTGGCTCTTGTACAGTGCATATTCAAACACACCCAGGGGTCACATTGGGAATCTGGAGGTGGGCGATTGTAATTCCAGGCAAGGTATGACATGCAGATAACACTGAAGTCTGTATGCTAGTATTTATTGATCCAGCGCTTCTTGCTTCGATGCAAGCGGCACTGGTGCTTCACATCCCTTGAGTGTTAAAAGGTTAGTACACCCGAAATGAAAATTGTCGTTTACTCACCATGTTGTTCCAAACCCAAGACTTTTGTTCACTCTCAACACACAAGTGTTTAGACTTGGGTCTAGTTCAGTACTTTTCTTTTTAATAACTTTACAGACATTTCTAAAATTCTGTTTTCATATTATGGCGTACTCGGTGTAGATTAAGTAGAAAAATAAGAAGAATTTAAATGATTGTAGTATCAGGCTACAAGTGAACGGGGGTCTGAATACTTTCCGAATGCACTGTATTACATACATACACGCGCACATATTATGCATACAAGTTTATAGCTCTTAGCAGAGGCAAGAATTCCTCATTCCACAGTAGGAAGCTCCACACTGGCAAATCCACTTTATTTTTCAATGCGGAAGCAAGCCGTTTTCTGTGAATATGCAAGACTTCCGCTTCATTAGCCGCGGTAGGGAAATAACGAGAAGATTATATAATCGTTTGTGCTACAACACAGTGTGTTTATAATAAAGACAGTACATTAAAATAAAACGGCAGTTTGCAAAATGAGCTGCTACAGCTAAAAAATAGCTGGAAGCAGGTGACACTGGAAGCCAGACACATTACATTTACAAATGGTCCGCTCTTACTGGAAAAGTAAGGTGGATAGATACTGCCCACACTGTTTGCTTATGCACTTGGTCTTAAATGCATTTTCTGTCTGTTTCTCTGTTGTGTGACTTCTAAAGGAAAGCAATGCTCCTTTTCGTAGAGTAAGAGACGAGGAAATTGAGCTGGACCCCCGCCTGACAAACAATTCATTCGATGCAAAGGCAAGACAATAAACGTGAATGCATATTAGGCCAACATTAACTGTGAAGAGATTGTGCATGTATAGTGACTCTTCTGTTCTTTTCTTCCAGATGGGAGCCAACGGTGACTGGGGCCAGAAAGCCAACAACGTGCTTAAATTTACCAAAGGCAAATCTTTCCGGCATGAGAAGACCAAGAAGAAGCGTGGCAGTTATAGAGGCGGTGCAATCTCCACCTCAGTGAACTCCATTAAGTTTGACAGCGACTGAGATTGCAGATTGCAAACTAAATGAACCTCTGAACTATATCTGTATCCGTCTTTCGCGTTTGGGGCTATATCAGCTCTAAAAAGCACTGTTTTGAGCCGTCTACCCTCTGTTCCTGCACAGCTGACACCGTTCTGCTATGTGTTGGACACTGACTGAAGGCGGCAGGAATAGAGGGCTTGGTGAGGTGTATGGCTGTCATTTTTCTACACTCTATCTTTCATGCAGTTAGACACCGCATGGTGGCGCCAAGTCATTGCGTTTAGGTTTTTTTCATTAGTTTAAATGTAAAATATGGTTTTGGCTTTACTGTAAAATGTTTCTTAAAGTTGGCTTGACAAATTATATACGGTTGTCCTAACAGGTAATTTGTTAATATAATAAGAAAATCACTCCGTCATTTCTAGTATGTGTTAATGAAATGTCAATATGGTTGCGTTAACATTTTATGAGCCTGTGTATCTTGAGCCTGGTGATTTGTCTTATTTGAAGAAGAAGCTGTGTTGTTAATGACTCCGCCCACTTCTGTTTGACAGACACTGGGAGACCACCCTTAAAATAACACCTGAATCGTCATCGTTCGGTTTTAGTTTTAATATTTTATGGTTTCATATGTTACGCAGGATTTTGTAATTTGGTCTCCTTTATGATCAGTCTTATAACTGTAATTAAAACATGGACTGAAACTCAACCGTTCGTCTGTTTTTGACCAAATTTGATCAAGTTCTCTCAGAAGAGAAGCTGTGTCTTGTTTAATTTGGTATGAGGTTTGCCAAAATGTTTTCTACCAATTAACACATTTCAATCCATATTAATGAAATCTTGGGTTAAAAGTGTTTTTTTGTGTTTTTTTTTAATATACTAGGAGTAAGAGAATTGGAAATAACCAGGCTACAGGTTTAGCCTAAAATAAGATACCACTCAGAAGGGTCTGGCTAATTAGAGACCATTTAATGAAAGTTAATGGGCCTGTACCGGGTTGAATCAGTCTTAAGTAATGTTCAATGAATCCATCAGCATCTGACTCACTGAATTGTTTTCTTTAAGTCCATCTGGAAATGAAGTGTTTTATGTAGGCCTACTTGAAGTTGTGAAACTCGGATTAGTATTATTAACTACACATTGTCATATCAACTACCAGCCAGTAAAGAGACAGTTTGCACAGCTTTTACTGGCTGAAATACGATATCTAATAATGTATGTTGTAAAAGGGGTGGGGACAGTGTCTGCACTAATAATAATTACGGTATAATGATTTTAAGGTTTTTTTTTTGTTTTGATTACACAATCAAGTTTGTTAACAGTTAATACATTGTGTCATGAAACATCAACGAGTTAAACTTTTAATGTTAATTTCTACTGTTAGATGTTTTAATTTTATGTATGAATTAATGAAGTTTTACACCGGAGATCAAAATTAGAGAACAACCTATGATTTCCTAAATTTCAAGGTCACTGCTTAGTCCTATTTGAAGTTATTCTAACAGGAGTAGAAGGGCAGTATTTTTAAGCATAAATTAATTGTATTCTGAAGCACAGTATAAAAACTTAAATGAAATATTTGAAAAAAAAAAAACCTCTGATCTAAATTAGAGAACACTTACAGATGCCTCCAAGTTATTGGTGTTAATCTGGCACCTGCTACTAATTTCCTTAATCATATGACAAACCCTATTTAACTAATTTTCACTGAGAATGCAAGAGATGGCGGGCCGCTCTAAGGTGACTGAAAGCCTGCGACACTGCAAGAGAAGCTGGTCGTTCCAAATCTGTGATTTCTCGAATATTGAAGGTTTACAATGACACCAATTCAGTCAAGTCCCCCAAAAAGGCTGGTCGTCCATGTAAGACTAATGCAGAGACACTCAATGGCGAATCGGTTCAACACTGCAGCTGGAATTGCTCATCAGTTCAGTGCTGAACAGGGTAAGGATCCGTCTCGGCACGTTTAAATTCGTCGGACTGAAAGCGCACTCTGCAGTGTCCCAAGCCTCTCACAGATGGCACAGTGTTTTGGACACAATTTTGTCATTTTTGACATTATGTATTAGCGTATGTACAGCATGTAAGACATGTTCACCTTTTTGTGACCGCTGGAGGGATTTAAGCCTTAATCAAATAAACCCCCCTCGTATTATTAAATAACACAGAAATACACAGACTTCAGTACTGTAAATGTTTTAATAGTATCATTTTTTCAGCATCACTCTTATAAAGCCATTTGACAATCAGATCTTCAAAATATTAATGCAGCTTATAACAAAATGGAAATTGCTTGTCACTAAATATTCTAAATATTCAGTTCTGAAGTAGAGACTAAGACACATTTGACAACAGGAGTGCAAAATAGGGAGCTTTTTGCTTAAGAAGTGATGGTGAGTGTTTTAAAAATCAAAGCTGGATATCATATGAATTATCGGAGTAAGTTCTTACATTCATTTCAGATGAGAACTCATGGCACTTGATGATGACTTCTCGCTGTTGTGTTTTCACATGCTACAGTCACATTCTAGTGTATGCAGAATTGTGCATTCAACTCCAAAACTGGCCAACAGCAAGAAATAAATACAAGATAGTGAGCTCTGTCTGGATGTTGAGTTGCAGGTGGGCACCGAAGACCCCGAGGATGAGCAGTGGTCATTGTAGCATGCGTGTTATCAGATGTGCCTTCCAAAGGAGTTCATCCCGTAATGATTAATTATACTCCATATGGAGCGTAACATCAGGGGTCGGGTGGCCGTCTCAGCCGTTACTGCTGTTTCGGCATGGCAAAGTCCCAGGCAGTGTCCTGGGCACACTTCCACATGGCACGCACCAGCCGGGTGAAACCCATATCCTTGGGCTTCTCCAGCCCACGCATCAGCCGCTGTTTCATGATGGCGATAAACTCCTTATTACTCAGCTCCCCATTTCCTAAAAAGAAGAGCGAATTAAACAGAGTAAGTGTGAGAGAGAAATATGATGGGTAATTATCACCATCAGTGCATTCCAACTCCATATGCTTATCAACCCTCAGCAGAATATGAAGTACTGTCAAATTTGCTGTGCTTATGTAATTACACTAGTTAAAATACACCCATAAAAAAAAAAAAAAGATCCAGCACAACTCATTTACAACGTTTGCAACATTTGTCGCATAAATAGCACCATGTCCCCCCCACCCAAAAAATAACCGAATTGAAAATATTTAATGTTTGAAGATGCTGCTTAAAAAATAAAATAAAAATTATTATTAAAACTTGCCTATATTCATGACTAGGCAAAACTGTGAGTGGACCACTATTATTATCATTAACAAAAACAAAGACTTAAAAAAAAAAAAACCCAACTGAAATAAAAATAAAAACTAGAGGTCACAAAATCGCAAAAACTAAAACTACAAATGTGCACAAAAATAAGAATGAAAACACAAAATTAAATGATTGAAGTTTTCGTATTCTGAATGTGTCAAGACGAAACCAAAAACAAAATTAAACAAAAAAGCAAACAAAACAAAACAGAAACAAACCACAAAATGCAAACAAAACAACAAACTAAACCAAACACAAAACAAAACACGCACAAAAAAACAAACAAACACAAAACAAAACAAAACACTCAATTACAGAAGAAGCAGCTGTATTAGTGCAGATATATTAGTACTAGTACTTAAAAGTCTATCAGTGTATCAACCAAAAAAATGATATTGATGCTGCATTCCATTCAAACAGGAACCTGATAAACATTTATAAAACGGATAGTTCCGGTCCTTGATTCTGATTGGTTGAGCCACGTTCGACGCTGTTGTAAATTACTCTACAAACATTCACCTTTGTTTACTTCTGTGTGTTGCTCGGCAACCACTTTGTTGGAACCACAACAGTTTCTGAGGAACTACATTGTTTGGCGGAAGAATACTGTTTTTATTATCATTACACTTTATTTGCTCTGTTTTATTTTGTGAAACCTTACTACATATATGGAATAACCGTTTTGCGCTTCGCGTCGTACCCAACAACAATGTCCCTTA